AATTAAGAAGGAGGGGTGGGGGATTAAGAAGAAGGGGGAGGGATTAAGCAGAAGTGGGAGAGGTGGGGGGATTAAGAAGAACAGGGGGTGGGGGATTAAGAAGAACAGGGGTGGGGAGATTAAGAAGATTTGGGGGAATTAAGAAGAAGGAGGAGGGGGAATTAAGTAAAAGGGGGGATTAAGAAGAAGGGGAGGGGGGAAATTAAGAAGAAGAGGTAGGGGGAATTAAGAGGGGGGAGGGGGAATTAAGAAGAAGGTGGGGGATTAAGAAGAAGGGGGGAGGGATTAAGAAGAAGGGGGGATTAGAAGAAGGGGGAGAGGTGGGGGGATTAAGAAGAACGGGGTGGGGAGATTAAGAAGAACAGGGGGATTGGGGGAATTAAGAAGAACGGGGGATTAAGAAGAACGGGGTTAAGAAGAACAGGGGGAGTAAGAAGAACACAGAGAGGAGGGGGAAGAGTAAGAAGGACACAGGGAGGAGGGGAGAGAAGGGGAGATGAGGAGAACACAGGGAGGGTGGGGGAGTGAGAAGAACACAGGGAGGGTGGAGGGAGTGAGTAGAACACATGGGGGGAGGTGAGGAGAACACATGGGGGGGAGTGAGAAGAACACAGGGAGGGAGGGGGCTGAAAAGAATACCGTAGGTTTGGGGGAGGGGGGATGAGAAGAGCACAGGGAGGGTGGGTGTGAGAAGTGACTGCTAGGGAATGGGGGGGGAGAGACCACTAAGGGGCAGGGGAGAGCTCTATAGGACAGGGGGCAGGACAGGGAGCTCTTTCACACTACGCGCACACACACAATGCATCCCTATACATACACAAACACACAATGCATCCCTACACACAGAAACACAACATGCTTCCCTTACACACAGAGAAACACACAATGCATCCATTACACACAAAGACAATGCATCCTTTGCACACATACATAGAAACACACAATGCAAACCCTTACACACACATGCAAACACACACACTGCTTCTCTTACATATATACAGAAACACAATGCATTTCATACACACACTCAATGCACACACTACTGACACACACCTTGCATCCCTTATGCATACAAACACAGATTCACACAGTACATCGCTTATACACAAAAACACACTGCCTCCACTACAAATACACTGCATCACCTACACAAACTGGTATCCCTATACACTACATACCATAAGCACACACATTAGATCTACATCTACAATAACACATAACACATCCCCTACACACTCCACTCCCTGTGAGCGAACTCATGGGTGGAACATGTAGGTGGACTTTTAGGTGGGCCTTATGGGCATACTCACCGTCAGGCCCTGGGACCCAGACCTTGAGCTGTTTAAGGGGCCCCAAAAAAATGGAGCTGCTTCCCATTCTACTAGAACTTTGAATTTTGTGACCACAGTTACAAACAGCCTTCAGAGATCCTCTTCTACACCAGACCAGTGGAGCCAAACCGCAGCCCATCATCATCCTCATCTGGTTGTAAGTAGGCAATCTAGTATATTATTAGTGACACTAATCTATAATTTACCTCACATTAAAGGGACACTATAGCTTAATGAAGTGGTTCTGGTGTCTATAGCCGGTCCCTGCAGGCTTTTTAATGTAAACACACACTGTGTCTACACTGTGTCTACTGGTGACCCACAGGAGGGGATTGCACTGCACTCTCCTCCTGCCCAGACCTGTCTTTACCGCAGTGCAAGTGCCCTCTGCCCCTAATTTACAATGGCTCACACTCACAGCAAGCAGTGCCTGGAGCCCTTTGCAGCGATGGGAACAAAGAGGTTCTGCGGCAGGTGGCCGTCCTGCAAGCATTACATTAAACAGCTGTGCCCCATGCAGCCACAGGTGGCGCTGTGCTGGGAGAATGTGATTACTCTTCACTTCCTCCCAGCCTACAGCGCAGCGCATGGGAGAGGGAGAGGAGGAGGCATGATTTAATCTTACAACAAATCCATTCAGCAAATCTTTGGGGGGATCAGCTCTGTTTGCACAGTTTATTGGTGTTTACTCTGATGTCTGTATTAATATTGAGGGATTTCTAAGTAGTAACATCAGTATGTGTCAGAAGGGCCAGACGTTGGGGTGTGCAAGCTGTGCGGTCACGCAGGGTGCCATGACAACAGAGGCGCCCAACACAGCTCACAAGTTGGGGACCCCAGCATATTCAATTTAAATGATTCACTGGCGGTCCACTGGTGCGCACCAGCAGTAGGTGCAGTCAGATTATATCCTCTCTCTCATGGTTCTGGCGCTCAGTTAGTGAGTCAGAGCACAGGCTCAGAGATTCTCAGCCTGCGCTCTGACAACATTGAAAGTCAGAGCCGTGAAGGAGCGGGTATGGCAAAGAGCTACTGATTAGCATAACATCAATATCCGTTATAAAACCAGGTGGGCATGGATGGTGAACTGATTTGGTGGTGCAATGGGCCACTTGACTGGTTTTGCCCCCCAGGTCTAAGGCTGCCAGCCCTCCCCTGACTTTGGCCTTCAAAGTCCCCTTGATCTCAAACCAATTAAGATCCTGCTGGAAAAGCAAAACCAATCCCTGGAGTCCCCACTGCACAACTTGCAGGACTTAAAAGATCTGCTGGTAATGCCTTGGTGCCAGGCAGGGATGTATTTACCACAGGCAAACAAGGCATTTGCCTAGGGCGGTACTTTCAGGGGGGCGCCAAAAAATGCCACCCAAACTCCCAGACAAATGCCTTGTTTGACTTGTGTTCTGGGGCTGTCCACCTTACTGTGAGTGAGTGAGTGTAGCTGTCAGTGTGTGTCTGTGTTGTGGCTCCAGGCCTGCCACATGGCGCAGCCGTGCCCGACCGGCACGACCTTGCCGATATTGCGAGCTTACCTGCTCACCAGCGAGTGGGGAACCGCTCCTCCGCATCTTCTGGGCGTTGCACCCAAATCAAAGATGGGGCTGACCACGTGGTCGCGCACACCACATGCTCCGCCCCTCACATTTATATGCACGCGTACGTTCTGGGGTCAGAGGTCACCCTCTGACCAATCAGAGCCCAGAGAGGGATATTTAAATCCCTAATTCACTTCAGTTCCTTGCCCTGTCGTGGTTTCCTGTTCCTGGTTCCCGAGAGTGTGTTTATCTTTGTGAATCTGACTTCCTGGTATGCTGACCTTGGCTTTTCCCTGGTTATTCCAAATTCTGGTTCCCCTGACTTGGCTTGTTTAAATGGTATCTGAGTATTTCTGGCTTCCTTGATCTCGGCTTTCCCTTTGACCATTCTTTATCACTAGCGTATTAGTCCGGCCATTCTAAGGTCCGGTTTTTCGCTCTGTCCTTTTATTTCCTTTCCTTTTTTATGTATATGTTTACATAGTTTCTGCGTGTTGGACCACACTAGCAGCCGTGACAGTCTGTGAGTGAGAATGGGTGTGTCTGTGAGTGTGTGTCAGTGTGTGTATGTCATTTTATGTGTATCTGTCAAAGTGTGTGTTGGTTAAACAGTGTGTGCCAATGACTGTATGTGTGTGCCAATGACTGTATCTGTCAGTGAGTGTATATCAGTGCATGTATCAATGAGCGCATGTGTCTGTCAGTCACAAAAATTGCCTTAACACAAATTGGGGGGGCAAATTTAGATTTTGGGGGTGCACGAATTTAGTTGTGCCTCGGGCAGCACAAATCCAAAATACACCACTGGTGCCAGGTACCACAGGACATGTTCAGAGGTCTTATGGCTTGACGCACCAGAGCTGTTTTGGCAGCATGAGGGGGATCTGCACAATATGGTTGGTTACCTTCAGCCAATCCACGTGGGGTAGCAGCATCTGTGTTGAGTTGTGTGTAATTAAGTTCGGGCTTGCGGCTCAAGCCTCGTTTCAAGCCGGAACTTAATTACACACGACTTGTATGTTGTATGATTTGGCCCCAGCACCACTCTTATAATATATGCATGATCAAGTGAGTGCAGCCCCTTTGGTTTATATATATAAATATATTTGGGAGTCTAACATTATTACAATCTTTGAGCTTTTAAGTTGCTGTTTAGTGAATGAGTGAGTGCGGTGGTTCTTGTATGTTTATATATATACTGTATATTCAATGCATTTTTGTATGATGTGACTGGTGTGTTTTTTCTTTTCTTTTTTTTTTTCTCTTATCTTATGTTATAAGGGCCATTCTGTACATACATATGTAAAGTTCTAATATTTTGCACAGTACTTACTAGCAAGCAGATAAAAAGCTATTACATCAAATCTAAAATAACAGACACTAATATACATGCCAATATCAAAAGAGTTGAGGGATCCTGCACATACAAGCTTAATATTTCGAAAA